TTATGTGTCATTTGTATTTTAAGAGTAGTTGTTAAAGAAATTGAAATATGTTTTTGTTTTTCCTATTTCTAATCGGGACGCAAAAATCACACAGAGAAATAATGATTTGAATTTTTATATTAAGAGAAGTGGATATGATATTTTGCTAATAAAATTGTTAAAATAATACATAAGCTATATTTCTCCTTAATTTTCATGGTAGAAACCAATAAGCTGATTGGTCCAACATTTGTACATATGGTATTTATGAGTTAGTGTGAGTATTAGTATTTTTATTTAATTCATGTTATATTAAAATTATAATTAGAAGTTATACGTATATGATTTTATTTTACATTTACATTTTATTTTATGATTTATATTTTATAAAACGGTCTTTAACGGTTCTGTGACGTAGGGTCTTCTCACCGGAAGGAAGTGAAGAGCTCAGCTGCAGCGACCAAAACAAACATGGCGGCTACTGTAACGACGGTAAACATACCGAAGCTTTTTGTGTGTTTTTCAGCGTCTCTCCTGGTCTCACCTGTCGGTTTTACATATTAAGTGTCTTGAAAACTGACTGTTTAACTAGTCAACTCTTTCTGGAGCATGTTTTGAACGGAAAGCCAAAACGAAACCTGGAAAATAAACGGAAGTGTCTGCCTCGCGTTTGAAACAAAACATCCGCTTCTGTAACGCGTGTGTTTACTGTGTTAGCTCGTCGTCCCAGCCAACAAACACGAGGGAAATATGAAAAGCAACTTCAACGAGGTCTTAAAGGACGAGAAAATGTTTACTGTTCCGCCTGTCACAATGGAGAGACTCACCGTTTGAGCAAGATGTAACGGTAACTAACGTCGGAGTATTTCTCCCTGAACAAACAAGACATGGACTTTGCCGTGGAGACAACCTGAGAGCACCGAGAGGTAAAACCGAGTTAAGGGTACACTACCATGGGTTTGGTGAACTTTGTAATCTCCACTGTGGTAAAATGCCTGGACGCCGTCTGCTTGCTGTTGGACCTGAACTTTGTCATCGTCCACACCGTGGTGCGGACCATCCTGGCGGTCATCACCTTTATAAACAGCATACCCACCCTCCTCCTCAACTCTGTGGTGGAGCTGGGAAACTTCACCGTGTTTTGCTTGATGTCCATGGCAGAGGCAACGTCAAATGCAGCCCAGGGTACTGTCACCATGCTGGGGAGCCTGGTGCTGGATCTGGAGGGGCTGCTGGAGAGCCTGAAGATGGTGGGTTACCTGTCCATGCAAGTCCTGCTTCGTGGGAAGGAGCACCTGTGTCGAGGTCTGATGTCGGTGCTGGAGGGCTGTAGCATCGCAGTGAGCCTGGTGGTCTATTTCACCAACACAGTGGTCAACTTTGCGCTCATTGCCACCCAGAATATGTACGCAGAGGTGGTCAGTTTGTGGCAGACGGTCTCCAGCCCACTGCAGAAGGTGCTTGAGTTCACGCTGACTTCCTTCACCTTTATTTACAGCAGCCTGGTCGGTACCTCAGCATTCCTGTGGTCACCTTGTAAACTGATGTTGGACTTTCTGGTCTCGCTGGTTCATATGTTTATCAGCGTCTTCATATTGAACATCTACGGTCTCCTGCTCACAGTTGCTATTGCTCTAACTACCACTGCCTACCTGAATCCAGAGCTTACTCACCAGGCTGTTGTGCGAATTATGGATTACATTAACTCGTTTCCTGCCTTGCACAGACTTCACCTGGCATTCCACTGCCTCGCTTCAGCCTTGCAGCGCACCCCACATGTTGCACGCCGTGCCATGCAGCACCTGCAACGAGTACTCCATCACCTCTACCTGCTAGAGAGAGGACTTTGGCAGCAGCTGACTCGACTCAGCAGCCAGCTAGGTCAGGCTCTGAGGACACAGCTCAACAGGGATGACAACAACAGAGTGGGCGGTGATGGCGACCCTGGGGAGGAGAGGCGGGACCCGCCAGATGGAAGAGCAGGAGATGGAGCCCACCAGGAGCTGCTTGATTTAGTTTTCCCCTCATCAAGCACAGACAGGCCACTAAAGAAGCAGTAGTCTTCAGGCAAAGACAGTAAACCTCTGCCTGCTGAGAATCTGCTGAATCTCCTGAAGGAGCAGGAGGAGAGGAAGAAGTGTGTGATCTGTCAGGACTGCACCAAGACGGTGGTGCTGCTGCCGTGCAGGCACCTCTGCTTGTGTAGAGATTGTACGGACATCCTGTTGAGGCAGCCCATATACCAACAGAACTGCCCACTGTGTCGGCACATGATTCTCAACACTATGGACGTGTACCTATGAGGGACCAATAGAAGTGGATCTGTGGGCGTCTGACCACAATGAGCTGCCTATCAGTATCCATACTTGACGTTTTACCACCATAGAAATGATGTATGACTTGCGTTTTTACTAGGTTGTGTTGAAGTATAGGTCTGGTGATATTCTCCATTTTTCTTGCTGTCAACAAATCCCATAATAAGACCAAAACTAATGTTAGTCTGTGTCTTAATACTTTCCTGCTTATTCATTTTCACTGAAGATGTAAATCTTTAAAAACAGCTCACAGTTACTCTTAAACATGTTACACACACAAGTGTAAATGGGTAGGTTTGGACTACACAGGAAGTATTTATCTATAAGGTCAATCCATTGTTGTTCTGAATTTTGTGGGATTTATTGATGATTAAAAATGGAGAATATCATCAAACTTATACTGTGTCCCAACTCCATGCAACTGTACACAGTGTGTACTATATACTAATCTTTATAGTACACTGTTGTCTGCAGTTAGTATACAAGAAATCAACATACTTGACTGTTTCAACATTAAAATGCCACTACTAAGTAAGAACGGTGTCACCACCATGCACAGTTATTTTCTTTCACTTGTGAGCAGCTCCTGTGCAGTGCGCTGTGCGAGAACAATCTCAAAAAGCAGGTGGTGTTTTTTTTTTTAGCATATATAGAGTTTATTTTGTCGCTCGTGAACACACGACATGTTCAAATCCTGCTTAAAACTAGTTTGTAGTGTGGGTTTGGGACACAGCTACAGTCTCTGTTTTGGCACTAACATGCACCTGTTGCCACGTTGAGTCTCAGGTCTCGTAGCCATGGTAACCTGCCAGTGCCCTCCCCGATGCCAAAATGTTTACCGCCGCTCATGTCTTAAAATGTCGTGCTTTCAGTAGGTCAAGCTGTGACGAAAACTAACACTGTGCTTTATTGCATGAGTATACATGATTCCAAACATGCTGTGTACGGATGCTGTAAGACTGTTTAAAGCAACGCCACTGTTCTGTCGTACAACGCTTTTAGCATTTCAACATTCTTCTGTGAATGATGACCACTCCTCACAGAGCCATGTAAAGATGGTTTTCTCTATTTAAGGAAAGGGTTTTGTAATCTTCCAGTCAGGCCCAATAAAACACAGCTTTATCCCATTTATTTGTCATTGATAGGGCTTATTCCAGTCTTCCATCAGAGGCACATTACAGTCACCACCCACACACAATCCATAAAAGGTTTCCCCTTTCCTTTGTCATTGTAATAAAGAATAGATTTTTGTTGTATAAAAGGACCATAAACTAATAAGACTTCACAATTTAATTTGCTTTTGTTTATCGTTTGTTAAAACTGAGGTGTTGGTATTGATCGGAGTTTAAAGTTTACAGGGTGATGTTGTGACCCCACTTAGTGTGTTATTGCTATGGTGAGTGGTTTGTTGTCAGATCTGTCACATGTTTTTTTTTTTTTCTTAAAATAATATGTATGATTTAAAGAATTTGATTTCTGTATTGTTTTTGTTTTTGGAGCAATGCTGTACCAATTACTGACATTGTTTTGTTCCACACTGCATTGTCAGATATCAGTAATGAAAGTGGTCTGAATGTCAGTTTGTAGTATGGTTGTAATCTAGAGACCGGACTGTGGTCATTATAGACCAGTTCTCTGAGGTATTCCCAAAATGTCAGTGGCATTCCTAACTTGAGATTGCGGTGGACTGAAAGCAGCTCACATGACCATCATCTGTTGTTACCTGCATTTTGTTTGACACAGTTTGGGACAATGTGATTTAAAGACATGAATGTAACTTGTGTTTTTTAAAAAAGTATGGCTGCCACGTAACTGGTGAGTCTTCTGTTGATAATAAAACAATGACTGAAACTATCTCTTGTGGTTTTCATCAGTGAAGCACATAATAATCCCTGTAAATGTTTCAGCTGAACTCAGACTATGAGGAGACACATGGGTTTATCAAACAGTAAAGTTAATTTATTAGGGTTGCAACTTAACTTATTTCATTAATCAGCAATCAACAGTTTATCTTCTTGATTGATTAATTAATCATTTAGTCCAAAGAATGTCAGCAAATAGCAAAATCTTTCTCTAACAATCCGGATTTACTGATGTTTCCAGCACTCTGCCAAGACCAAGCTAAGTGGAGCGGTGGTTATTCTGCGTCTCTTTAAGCCCGTCTTCTGAAAAAGTTCAGTCTGCTCTGAGGGTTTTGGTGTCTCAGGGTCTTCCCCATCTCTGCTCTCAGGGTCTCTGTGCTGTTATTGCAGCTGGGGGAATGACTGTTTGGTACTGTGGCAGAACTTTCTGTCTTTATCAACATTTCATTGTCAGCTGATCATCCACATACACTGCAAACATTTCAACAGTAAATACAAAGGGTCCCATTTATAATGTTTATGTTTAAAGTTTGTAACGGTCTATATAGCATACTTGTGACATCACAACTTCACAGAAGTTTTAACGGCTGGTTTTAAGGCGCAGTTTCTGAATATGGACTGTGTGCATTTTTCTGTGGTTTGAGTGTTGTGATATTTTCACGGTATTTATAGCCCTGTTTCCACCATACACTTTCGGTACAGTACCTTTGGAACCAAAAGTAACCCCTCAGACATGGTATCTAGATCCTAGGTCCACTTAGCGTCTATACTACAAACAGCACTCACTGTAGTTCCTCATCACCGGTGACACAGAAGGAAGTCTGCGCCTCATTTATCATCCATAGAAATTGGTTGCACGCCAACATTTTCACAACAGAATAAACCAGGCTGCAGAGAGAATCTCTCTCCATGGTATATTTATATATTTAAAAATAGTGGGTTTGTGCATTTAGCCCTTCTAAGGCAAGCTCAGGGCTTTAATGTTGCTGGAGCCCACAGGAACAACGTTCGAGTGAGGGCTAGAATATATGCAGTCCACATAATCATAATAATTAGAACATAATCTAATTACAAAATACTGTATGTCATCCAAGAGAGACGATAAAAACTAAAGTAATGGTCAAAGTTGGCACATTGAAATTTAAGGTGTGTTGATTGATTCATGTTGTCAGCTCATGCATTGAGTAACATTACAAGTTAACGTTCCACTTCAAAAGTCACCGGCAGTCGACCCAGTGAATTAAAGTGTTTTTTTTCTCCGACTACAGCTGCTGCAAGAGGCAGCAAAACATCCTTTCATTTCAGTTATAGTTTACTGATGTATGTAAAACTCTCCACAGTATGAACAGTGGTTACATGAACCTCAAAAGTCAGACTGCAGTGTTCACAGCTCCACCTTTTAGTACCAGATCTGTGTGCTAGGTACCCCAACAGAGGGGGGACCAAAAATGGGGACAGTACAGAACGGTTCCGTTGGTACCATCCACAACTTTTCACAGTGGAAACGGAAAAAATGCATACCGAGCTGAACTGTACCGTACTGCTCGGTGGAAACGAGGCTTCTTTCTGGTTCATTTTAAAAACACCTTGAAATTAACTAATAAAATGATAAAACTACCCAGCAGTATATGAAGTATGAAGTAGTGAGCCGTATCCGACCCCGCTCACATCCTCAACTCAGAATATGTACTGTTACCATCTGGCAAACGATACAGAGCCCCCATCTGCAAGCTTAACAGATTTAAATATTCATTTGTCCCTACCTCTATTAGAATATTAAATAAGGTAACAGTTTGAGATGTGCAATATATGTTGATGCTGTGGTCCATCCCCTCATCCCCTTACTGTACTTGTATGGGCACATGTGGGAATGTGTAATATGTGTATATCTATCTATCTATCTATCTATCTATCTATCTATCTATCTATCAAGTACATAACCAATCCACCAGCAGCTACACTAAACCAACTATGAGTCTGATGAGTGACAGTGAGCTGCAGGATGAACAACAGAAAGCCCTGGTCGTGTGCTCAGCAGCAAGCCGCAAAATGCATCACAAAGGCCTTTTTTTTTTTTACACAAAAGACATTTTGACATGGACACAGTGGGAAAAGCAACCGGTATAAATAATAAATGAACAATGGCTGAATTCTATTTAGCTGCTTCAGTTTCAGGGTTTCTGATATTGTTCAGGCTGGCTCACTGCCACACCATGAAGAGAAAGGAGCGATAGTTATGAGTAACACTTGTGTTTTTTCCACCATGACAGCTGTTAAAAAGGCGTGTGATGACATCAGTAGGGATGTAAAGCAGAGTGCAGAACCACATCACCAGCTCACATTCCTCTCAACATAGTTTACTAAATCTCACATATTCTAAGCTCTGTATCTTTTACCAAATTTGGTTTTACTGACTTCATTTGTTCATGACGTCCGCACAGCCTGCAGTGTGACCCCCCAGGGCTTCCATATGTATGAGTGATGCAGATTTTTTACAACTGGAGTACAGTGGGAAGTATTTCCCTGGGGGCTGGACACACATAGGATTACAGATCCTCTCACTTGTCAGCGCTGTATCTGAATCCAGAGATAATGCAACACTTGAGTCCAGAGATAGCTCAACATTCATGTCTCGCATCTGTGAAGATAAAGGGAGTGTTTGGAGGCTGCAGTGGGGTTGCAGGGTTAGAGGAGTGGGCCCCTGATGGTCATATGGGACCACTTCGACCACCATATGACAATTCACCAGAGCCTTGTGGTTGACAACTTTATTCCTGTTCCCAATGTTCTCTCTAAAAATATCTACACACATATGCTACGATACAAGAATGCACTCAGTGGCTTTTTTTTTCAGTAATAGAGGGATTCAGATTTGTCTTTTGTCATATTTTATTGTTGATTGATCCTCATATTTACTGGTAGTGATGTCATCTGTGATTCAACAGAGGAAATGAAATCATATCTTTATAACTGAGCAGTGTGAGCAGGTTTCAGGTGGAAGACCACAAACCAAACACTTGTTAGAGATCAGAGAACAAATCCCGGAGTTGTTTATTGTCTCCTGACCTGTGAGCCCGGCGTCAACACTGTTTACGTGTTAGTTGTAAGTGAGGGTGGTGTTAACAGAGGAGAGGAAGTTTAATGTCAGGGGAAGAGCAGGGAGGAGTAAACTGAGGAGAGCTTTATACTCCGGGGATTCGACCTCTTCCTTTTGACCCCGGTGGTCCTGGTCGGGAGCAGTGTGGGAAAATGTCAGGCTCTAGTGCTCGCTTCCCTGCCTCACTCAGGCTCTATTTTTTTCTGTTTATGATCACTGTCTCTGTGTCGTACTCTGGCTCTTTAATTCTCCATCACCTCCAAACTGTGGGCTTTGATCTCTGTGTTTTTATGAGTGGGAAAGCCTCTTCAAAACCAGAAGGGTTCGAGCTGGCATGTCAGTGAGCATCTACCCTGCTTAAAATGTCATAGATGGAGCTACAAAGAGAGATGATCTGGAGATGACCTGACCTCTGACCTCCCCATGGGGACTCGGGAACAATAAGAGAAATTCCCTGCATACATGAGCTATGGGAGGATTTTAGAGAATGTTTCTATTTCTGATATTGGACAGCCTGACATGACATGCCACAGCCCTCCTTTGTTCTGCAGCGACAAATACAACAGTTCAAAAGAGACCAAAATTTGACACAAAGGTAAGACAGGAAATGGTGTTGTTGAATAAAGCTGTTAAACAATAAGTTTAAAAAAATATGTATTTATTTTATTGTAGATATTTAGAATGGTATAAACAGACAGAAAGAGTGATGTATTGTCTGTAAATATTATCAACAAATAACAAAAGAAATCAAGCTAGTTAAGTTCAGCATACATCCGACCAAAAGGAGAAAAAAAGGCAAAACGAAACATTCCAATCAACAAAACTTTTCCAGGATGTCTAGATCTATGATTACTGTCATCTGACTTCATCCAAACACACAAACCTATTTGACTGGATTTCTATGAGCCAATCACTGTGTTCCACATCATCTAATGTGGACTGCAGTACAGCCATGCCCCTCTTTTTTCAACCAAACTGTCTTTGCGTTCCACTCCCCATACTATCATACTATTTAGTATGCCAGAAAAAGATTTAGTGTCTCCCAATACATAGTGTGTCAAATGCAGTATGCCAAAAATACCAGGATGTTGTACTACAGTTCTACTACGTCTGATTTTTCAGTATGCAAGCCAGCATGCTTTGCTGGCTATTCTGACCCACAATCCTCTGTGCAGCAGACGATGATTCACATCAATTAAGCAGGAAACAGATGACAGATTGGAAACAAGAGGAAATAACTATGACAATTATAGCTGCTGCGCAGCGATGGGTCGGGTCCGGGCATTTTTAGGCAATTCTGAGCAATAAGCAGAAGAATTGGAAAACATTTAGGAATTTAGCAGCACAACCTGCCTTTTGCATCAGCTGATGCTTGAACTCACAGACTCTGAGACTGAGGATCAATTTCTATCTCACTGAGCTAATTAGTCAGTGACAATTCATGTGTAGCTTCACAAATTGACTAAGCCAGAGGTGCAGGTTTAGCAGCTGTCCATGCATGGAAAAGCAGATTTCAAACCACTGTAAAAAATTCAGTTATCGAAACAAAAATCTGAAAATACACATATTGCATCTAGACAGCATGGAGATGTTGGTAATTTGTTTGTAACAATGATTGATTTGCTTCATAAGTGAAAAACTGATGTTTAAAATTGCCATTTTTACATTGACTCCAATTGTTCACATTAGACCAAAATTCAAAATGCTGTCAAAAATTTAGTTTTTGAGATAAAATTCTGAAATTTGCCACACATCATCTACCATGACTCTAGAATTTTGTCATTTTTTTCATGAACATTGAAGATTTATTTAGCAAGAATTTGCATGTATATGTTTACAGTACTGTTTACAGTCAAACATTTTGATGCACTGTAGGCTCAATTTTTGATAAATCA